TTTATTTTTAATTTTTTTTAAACGTTTATTTATTTTTGAGACAGAGAGAGACAGAGCATGAACAGGGGAGGGGCAGAGAGAGAAGGAGACACAGAATCTGAAACAGGCTCCAGGCTCTGAGCTGTCAGCACAGAGCCCGACGCGGGGCTCGAACTCACGGACCTCGAGATCATGACCTGAGCCGAAGTCGGCCACCCAACCAACTGAGCCACCCAGGCGCCCCATAAGACATTTATTAATAACAGGAAGCCTGGCTTTGCCTACTCTGACTCAATATAGTACTAAACATTCAGTATACAGGCAATACCTGTACAGTTGTTGGTTAATCAGAAAATGGATCCAATAAGACAGCCCAGAGATGTGTGTCCAAACTACAGTTATTTTACTAAAACCCCCAGGTAGAGAATTTCTGTTGAGTTGCCACAGAGGGCTCGTTTGGTTCTCTCTACTGAAATAACTAAGAGTACACAATCCAGAAAGCCTGTTTCAGATCCAAATCCTCCCATATGTCCTGCGGTAAAGTGGGTCTGGAGAGCGACTATTCTGGGAACATTCTCGTGAAACTCTAAAAGAGGTTAAACATATTTTTTAAAGAATTCTGAATTCAATATAGGATTTTTTTTTAATTTCTATACTACTTTTCTATAAAAGTAGTTGCTGAAATATTTAGAACTACTTTTCTATAAAAGTAGTTGCTGAAATATTTAGAAAACACAGCAATCCACTGCCAATGTACTTTTTCCTGATACTTGAAGAACTTTGCAATCACCAGGAGAAAGCAAACAAAAATGCTTAAGTTAGATAAGGTGAAATTCTTATTGCCCTGAGAGGGCTCTGTGGAATCTTAGAGCTTCCTGGAATACAGCTTAAATAACAATGATATATAATCTAAGCTTTTTGTCTTACAGACCAGGCATCTGTCCAAGGTGCTGAAGATAATAAAAAATGAACACCCATGGTCCCTGATCTCAAAGACCTTATGGGTCATGTTTCCATTTGACACACTTATAGAATTGGAAGACTATGATTTGTTATGAAAAGAAACAAATCTGTAGGGGCGCCTGCGTGGCTCAGTAGGTTAAGCAACCAACTCTTGATCTCGGCTCCAGTCATGATCTCATGGTTCCTGGGATCGAGCCCCGAGTTGGGCTCTGGGCTGAACATGGAGCCTGTTTCAGATTCTCTCTCTCTTCCCCCCTTTTTCTTCCTCCCCCCTACTCTCTCTCCCTCTCAAAACAAAGAAATAAACTTTAAAAAAAGAAAATAAACAAATCTCTAATAAAAAGGAGTGTTTTGTAATAGAGGTAACTTTATTTCAGTTGCATATTGCCCTAACCTACTACTCACAAACCAGCGGCTGCTTAATATAATGCGTTTACCCCACGTTGTCCCCAAGATACCCGACTTCTCTTCCTCACCAATGCCTTTACATGTATAAGTATCAGACAATACGTGTGTTAGTCAACAAGGCGGGACCATCTAAAGGCTGTGAAATTCAGCTCATCCTCAGTTCTGGGCTTCAGTTAAGAGACCTGAATTGGGGTCCTGGCTGGACCACTTCCGGATGTGAAAGCTTCAGCAAGCCACTCAAGGATGTGGAGACTCAGTTTCTAATTTGTGAATAAGAGTAAAAGGAGCTCTTTAGCAGGACACAAAATTACCAAGATGGCAAAATCAGGTGTGCGAGAGTATGCTGTAGATATTAAAGGAGATTCAAATATTATTTGTATCCACTTCAAAAACGTTAGGGTGTTTAATAAGCTATATATTTACTTTCTGTTGACATTTCTGATCCACTGGTGTGTGCAGATTAATTATGGAACTGAAACATTTAAATATGAATGTTTCCTTAAGTGATGCAATTAACTATCAAGAGGCAATTACAAAAGTCTTTTGAAGTTAGTTGAAAGTGTCTTTACTTAGTCTTAAGCTTTAATAACTTGCTCAAAACATTTTATAACATTCATTATTTCCAAGCCATCTTTTAGGGATGAGTATTTGATTCCGGTATTCGATCACATTGTGGGAGCTTGGGATTTTTTTTAATTAATTACTTGATGTTTAAAGCTAAAACTTTAATGTGAAGCTAATATTATTTTGATTATATAGCCATCAGCACCATCAATTCTATATTACAGATGCGTTTTCCCATCTGGCCATGTGTTCTAGCTCTAGGACAACCTCACAAGTGGAAATTGCACCCAGGGAGCATCTGTGTTTTTGTAGGTGAAGGCAAAGAGGGAAAACAGGCAGAAAAGATAATTATTCCCATCAACTAGGTTACACTAAGAGCTAAATACCAATCATTGAAATGTTTCTTCTCAGAAACTCAGAAAGTTTGTGCTGTTATGTAATGAAAAAAAAAAATCTGTGTGATTAGAGTGCCCATAAACAGATCCACAGATTCAAGTTTCTCAGAGTTACCCAGAGAAACAGCTGGGCGAGGTGTGGGGGGGGGGGGGCAGTGTGCAGCAAAAGATCCTCAAGCTATGCTGGATACCATGGAGAAACGTGGGGTTACACCAGCCACGCGGCATCTAACGGAGGCTGACGATAGCACAATGAAGCGACCCTTCTTGATGTGACAAGGTGGACATTATACACAAATGAAGCCCACAACTTCTAATCTCAGCCCAGTCACGTGATTTTAGGACATGATGGCCCTTCTTAACTGCAATTTGGGAAGTAAGCGGGAGTCAGAATTCTGGAAACAGTCAAGGGACCCCATCGTTGGTGATAGGTCCAGTTAGCTTGAAGTTCCAAAAGGCAGGCACTTGCTGCTGGATATCTTTTGCACAACCATGAGAATGTAGGAAGACATGTTCAGAAATCAAGAATCACTCCAGGCCACGTAGAGAGAAAACAGGTAGCAGAAACTTGGGTTGGGAAAGCAGCGCGATGTGAAATAGAACCAGATACATTCTCTATGAAGCAGACGGGGAAGGGTGCACGTGAGCTTAGTCACCTCCACACTTGGAGTGGTACTGAGGATCGAGGACACGGAAATGCACAGGGGAGACAGGGAAACACACAGCCCAATGCCTTCTTGCCCTTGCTGACAAACCGTAGCGGGACGCACCGTTTGTCAGACGAGCTGAGGCGACGACTGGACTGGAGGAACACGCCAGGTGTGCGTGGAGATACCCTTTATTTACAATAAACCCTCAGGTTTACCTAGGGAGTTTTCCAACCGTTTTCTTTCTCAAGTATCCAACGTCCTCTAAGACTAATATGACACGTGTAACAGCTAGGAAGTGGGGGTGAATGCAAGTGGGAATAAAACAAAATCTATGAACATACTGATGGAAAACCCAAAGTGGAAGAAAGAAAGAGGTTGCAAGGGTGTCCATCTTAGTCTGAAGCAAAGCCAAAGGGCTTTACAAGAAGCCTTTGAATCCTGCTTCAGAGGGCCATTCTGAAGAGTCAAACTCTAGTAACAAAAAACTATAATTATGAATTGGTTTTATAATGCCCCTGCTACTAATTTATTGTGCATGCAATATAATCAATATACTTGCTGTTTACTGAATCTCGTAAATGGTTATTTTCGTGATAACGAAAAATTGGTTTTCTAGTGTCAGCTACTCTACTTCTGTTTTTGCTCACCAAGTCTTGCAGGCCTTTCCCTGTAATTTTGCCCACCAAGGGGGATTTTAGGCAATTAATCTTCCTTTGAGGCACCTGGATTAGTTCTGTGTCTGGGATAATTATTATCATTTCCAGGCCTTCATTTGCTTATCTGTCAAATAAAGAAATCAATCTTGATGATCACTAATACACTTTCACGCTAAAAAATCCAAAATTTTATATTTTTTGGCATGGCTTTTGGTGTAATAAAGATTTTTAATCAGCAGATGAGTGAAAGATTGGACTATCTGGTACATTTCATTGATTACTTAATTTTCACTATTTATCCACACCAAAGTAGCTCATGTTTTACCTTTCTTGTTTGGAAGTATAAGTGGTGGAAATAACAGTGATCATACTGCAAATAACTCTTTTAGAAAGCACAGTCTCTTTTCCTTCTTTATTTTATATACTTCTTTCTCTTCTTCATTTTCATCTTTAAAAATATTTTCTGGGGGCCCCTGCGTGCCTCAGTCGGTTGAGCGTCCGACTTCAGCTTAGGTCATGTTCTCACAGTGTGTGAGTTCGAGCCCCATGTCGGGCTCTGTGTTGACAGCTCGGAGCCTGGAACCTGCTTCAGATTCTGTGTCTCTCTCTCTCTCTCTCAAAAATAAATAACCATTAAAAAAATATTTTTTGTACTTTGATTGACATTAATCAGGGGGCACTACAGGACTCTGTGTAAAACTGTAGGTCCGTGATCACAGCCTGACTCCACCAGCCCATACACCTGGTATCTTCACAGCAAATCCTGAAATTCTTTGTGTTTAGTTTTCTTATTAGGACATTAGTGGTGCTAAGAAAGAGCTTAGTACGTGGGGTTGTTTTATTTCATGACATTTATATGTAGTATATGTGACTAAATTACACACATGTAATTGACATTCTGTAATATATAGATTCTAATATTTATGTATGTAGATATAATAGTAAAGTACTGATGTAGGGTAGACATTCAAAGTTAGTGCTATTAATTACACCAAACATTCATTCTAAATTTTTCATATGCACAAATATGAATCTTTGTCAATGCATACTATATTATAATCAGAGTTTATTAAGCTCAGAAGCTCTTAAAAGTCATGAGTGTTTCTTTTCAGGTACAGTCATTTTCTTATGAAAATATTAATGCATCTAAGAAAATAAATTTCAAACTATCACTTCTGGCAATGTGTCTAAATTAAGAATTAAATATTAATTCAGAACACAGTAGGGAGACCAGAGAAAAAAATGAGTATTTAAAATGTATTAGCTAAGCAAAAAAAAAAAAAAAAAAAAAAAAAAAAAAAAAAAATCATCAGCTAGGTATTAGATGAACCCCGAGATTTAAAAAAACAAACAAACCTGAAATGATGACGTCATATGCTACTTACTCGTATAGGTGAGCTGGAAACCCTGGTCGGTTTCAGAGCCGTTGGTGTTGAATTCCAGCCACAGGTGATTGGAAGTGCTGTTGAGGACCAGCCCCATGAGCTCATTCTTAGTGAAGGACCCCAACGGACGTGATGAACTGTCTTTTCCATCATACACCTAAACAGAAGTCACAGCATGAATCCCCAGTTACTTCTGTTTGCACGTTAGCAATGTTAACATGACATTCAATTCTTCAAACACGTGACCTCATGCAGTACTTGAAAAACATATACAGTTTACTGAAAGCTGAATGTTTAACCCTACGAAGCAGCCTTGTTTCTTTAGGTTGTATCATTACCATCAACACGAAAGACACGAGATTCCATCTGTGGTCAGCTCATTCTACATGGATCACTTTGGGAGTCCTTCCCTTGTTTACTTAAAATTAAATACATCTTTATTTGCATTTCCAAGTTCCATTATTTCCCTTTCTCCCCCTCCCTCAGAATGCACTTCCCAAGGTTGAAGGGGTGTACACAATTTTAGCCACGGCGTCATCTGTGAACTATCAGGCAAGTATTCGGACATCCCTCCTACCTGAATGTAATACAAGACAAGATGTGGAAATCTTGTCACATTTTGCAGCCTTTGAGGTTGAGGGGACTTTAGTCTTGAATTAGTTGTGATAAAAGAATCCCATCATGTAATGACATCAGAGACACATGCTGTCTTCCTCTAGAACACTTTGTATTTGACTTTACCTTCCTAGGTGGTCGTAAAGCATGGGTGTTTAAAACGAATATTTGGAAGGCAAGTAGACACGTTTGGTTTTGTGTAGATGTTAGAGGTAAGGGAGAGGAGTCATTCGGGGTTGTGTCCCTGACTTTCACTGAGGGAGACCACCCTGGGAGTGGATGAGTGCCAGTCACATTTCCTAAGTAGGGATTGGGTCAAACAATTTAGGGCACAGGCATGTGGGATAGCTCACAGGAACCTTTTATGCTAATGCCAGAATAGACTGGATTTGCATTCAGGAATGACTGACTGTTGAGGCCCCCCAACAGCCCTAGTAAAGTGTCCAGAACAGAATGCACAGTGGCAAAGGATAATCTGTTTGCCTCTTTGAACTATTGGAATGGTTCACAGCAAGGAGCCACTGGTATGGATAAGGGTTTTAAGAAAGAAAGAATGAATGTGTATTACATTGGAAAACATCCAGTTTTTCTTGATTAAAAAAAAATCTTGGGGCGCCTGGGTGGCTCAGTCGGTTGGGCGTCCGACTTCGGCTCAGGTCACGATCTCGCGGTCCGTGAGTTTGAGCCCCGCTTCGGGCTCTGGGCTGATGGCTCAGAGCCTGGAGCCTGCTTCCGATTCTGTGTCTCCCTCTCTCTCTGTCCCTCCCCCGTTCATGCTCTGTCTCTCTCTGTCTCAAAAATAAATAAAACATTAAAAAAAAATTTTTTTAAAAATCTTAATTAAATAAAGGTCATGAAAGTCCTCAGTAGATTTGTCCAATATGTTCACTTCCCCACTATTTTCCTTCTCACATGGATTAATTCTTACTTTTCTTCTCTCAACTCCCTTCTAATAAGCGTACAGAATGTATACCTTGCTTGACAGACTTACACATGTATACACACTCCTAAAAGATAAGAGCACATTTGGGAAAATTAATTTTATGGCTCATAATTTTACTGCTTTCCAATTAGATAAGTATGTGTGAGAGAAGTAGAATCAAATACCCTACAACTCCTCACTAAAAGCCAGTAAGAGGCTATCGTGGAAAAATCATCCCTTGACTCAACGTGTGGATTCATCAGACATGGTGTGTCTGCGACACCAGAGTGTAATGAGTTTAAGTCCAGAGGAATCTGGGTCAGAAAGAAGATGTCCAGACCTTGCGAGAAAGGTCTCGTCTCACGGCATATACCACACGATTCTCTGTAAGTTACAGAAACCCATAGAGATGAGGGGCATAAAAGCAAGGAAACAGTCACGTAAGCGCGATCCTGAGAGTTCTGGAGCACTGTCAATAGTCACCTCCACTGGCCTTGACGGGACGCTTCCCACACATAAACTAGATCATCTGGACAGCATCCAGTTCCCAGGATCCTCAAAGCTACAACCACTCAAAATGAATCATCGCAACGCTGAATTATGGGCTTCTCCCAGACCATAATTCTGTCCTGTCTACACCACAGGCAATGAGCTCTGCGCTTGGCAGAGCTTGGCATGTGAGGAGGAAGAAGTCATGCACCACGCGGAGCATCATCCTGTCAGCTCCCTCAAGTTACAAATCTGGATTCAAGTTTTCTGTGGACCACAAACGACTACCCAGATGGTATCAGAAGTCAGAAGACTTGATTTTTAATTCCACTGAAATTCGGAACAAGCCACAGCAGTTCAGCATAACATCTCTTGGTCACATGCCCTCGTCTAGCTGCTGCCAGGATCCAGGTGTTCCTTTTTGGTACTGGAGAAAGGCTCCCCGAGTCCTGTTACTACAACGCTGAACTCTGTGCAGCACAAATGGTCCTCTGATTTTGAATTTAACCCATGCCCTCCGCCCAGAGCGGGATGGCCGAGTGAGCAGGTGGCCGCCGGTTAGGAGACATCACGCAGCATCCTGAGTGGCAGGGTGGGGGGTGCTGAGGGGAGGGGGTGTTTCCCAGTTTTACAGAGCTATACCCAAAGGTCCGTTTCCAAAATTAACTCTGCGTTCCATATATATTCCTTTCATGACATTTCTTTCAAGCTCTATTTCTCTTACAGGTTTTATCTTTCCCATTTGATGTGAGAAAACATGTTTTTATACGTGGAAATCCATGCACAAAACTTTGGTCTTTCTCACTGGATCCTACTATGTACGAAGGAATGACGTGAATAGCATTTAAAGCTAAATATAAGAGAATCCCACTTGAAAAGTTTTTGACAAGGAGATATGTATTAGCATAGCCAATAAAAAAAGACATGCTTGCAAAACATTCAGGCATTTCAGATGACTGACAGTTTCTCTGCAATTAAGTGAGGTAAGCATGATTTTTTATTTGCTTTTTGTTATAATCAACAACTTTAAACTACGTGCAATCACAAATGAACATTATTCACTTCTTCTGTAGCAATATTTATTAGTGTACATTTTATGCGGTATCTCTAATCACTCACCTACACCAAGCATGGTTAATTGTTACTTACAAGTTTTCTCTGAAGGCTTAGTGACTTCTAAATTTGAGGTTATCAGAGAATTCAGAAAATGGTTCCTTACGACGCAACTTTAATTTTTTTTTTTTTTTTACATCGGTGAGAACATATTAGTTTCCTGCCTGAAAATCACTTCTTAATGACAGAGCTTCATGATGTCAGCATGAGGTTTTGAAAGACTATTACAATAGAAGAACAATGACAATAAACCTGGTCTTCTCAACAATGACATTGAAATAGTCAAGGCCGGACTTAGGAGGGAGGAAGGCACTTTAGGCTTTCAGTGCCTCTGAAGTGTGAACATAACAGCTAATGAGGTCAGGGTGGGGATCCTGGAGGGACCCCTCTTTAACCTTGTGCAAATGGATGACAACCGGGAAGTCAGTGATGGACTGGCTCTTTGCATCTTTTCCCGGTGTTGGCAGCTCAGGGCGTGTGGACTCTCCTGAATGTGAGATGCGTCAATGTGTGAGTCCATGTAGATGTAAATGTCACTGGAATACCTAGAACTTCACAAGGAATGAGAAGAGAGATGTCTCCCTCCTGCCACAAATGAGCTGTGTCCCCTGGACCGGGTGCTCACTCCTCACTGGACCGAGCAGGGAGACAGGTTGGGTGGTGTCGGCCATTAGTCTGATCCCCCTCTTTGCATGCCCTCGCTCTCCAGATGTCCCTCCCTGGCCCCTAGATCCTCGAAGAGTTACAGGAGAGGTGGGAATTGCAGTGGAAACATTAGGGATTATGGGGGCATTTCCAGCTACAGCTGGGTCTCATAGACCAGTGCAGGCCTTGACTTTTCCTGGAATCCATTTCTGCTGGGGTTTTTTTTGTTTTTTGTTTTTTGTTTTTCCTGGAGTCCACCTACAGGGTGGTGGTGTGCTGGGTCCCGCACCCCAGAGCATTTCCCCGAGGCTCTGGTGCTCTGTATTGTCTGATGCACAGAACCCTAGTTTCTGGTCCTATTCCAAGAATGTCCCTGAGTCCCATGAACACAGCTCAGACTCGCCCACTGAAATTCTGTCTTGTCTGGCATGGCCTCTCCACATGAGCTCTGCTCTATGGTCTGGTGATAGCGGCTGGGCTTGCTTCCACTAGCACATCAAAATCTTTCTCACTCTGAATGTTGGGACCACATCTAGTCATTGAGAATGACGATTCAAGCGTGGCTTTGGGGGCCCACTAGCTTTAATAATCACGCGTGCTCAGCGCAATCCTGGACACATCCACCGACAGTGTATTATTTAAATCTCAAAACATCTCTCGAAGATGGGTATCATCATGTGTTTTCACACATAAGGAAGCTAAACCTCAAAAATGCTGAATAATCTGCCCAAGACACACAACGGATGTTAGATCCAAGACTGCAGACTAAGATAGATCACAGTCTACACTCACGCCACTGAGGAACATGGCTACATTCCCCCTTCTCAAACCAATTGGCCAAGTAAGTTGGAAAAAATATGTCCATCTAAATATGTGTATGTGTGTGTGTGTGTGTGTGGATGGACAGATATTTAATTTGCTCCTTGAGAAGAGACGGTGTCACATAACAGAAGATTCTTCTTACCTTCAGAATGTCTCCTTCAAACAGCTGGAAGGTCCGTGCTCTGAGATGGATCCCCTTGCCAGCTTCTGTTTCTATCTTATAGATACACTCGTGGTTATTATCGTAATTTGATGGGAAATTTGGGGACAACAATGTTCCTTCATTTCCTTTGACACTTGCTCCACATTCAGCTAAAATAAATAGGACATTAAAAAAGAAAGAATTGAAAAGTGGAATTACTGATTTTAACACAAAAATTCTACAATCATGACGGCCCTCTCCTCTCTCAATGTATGTTTCTAATTAACATATTGGTTTTGTAGATTGGTGGGTTTTTTTTTGTTTTTGTTTTTTTTTACTGTTTACCAGCTGGACAGGAAATATTCTCTATTCATTCATTTTCAAGATTTCTTGTCTGTTTTCAGAGTACCTCTTACTCCACAGAAGCACAAAGAGATCTCGAACAAAATCGCTACACCCAAGCACACCGGCTGTGTCACAGAGCAGTCATATCCCTCCCCAGGCCTCATTTCTACTTCACGAAACGTCCCTGCCAATGCCACTGTGACAGCTCTGTGGTACTTACATTGATATTTTGTGGCATCGACCCGAACACATTTAAAGGGGATCTAAAGATAAATAAAACCACTCAGCAGCCCACCAGTGTCACAGCACCGAGCCTGTCTGTGTTCCATCTCGGGACAAAAGAACATTCAGTGGAGGTCAATGTTATTTTCTTCTGCCCTTCTCCTGAAGAAAGTAGAGGTAATTCACTTCTAGATCCAAATTTGCATAAAAGAGTATTTAATCAGGGTAAAAAATAAAAATAAATTTAGTCTTCACATTATGTCAACTCAGACAGAGTCACTTAACCTCTCAGCTCACCTTAAAAACAAACGGTTAGCCGAAAGACCACAGCTTTAAAACCCTGTAAGTCCCAAATCACCACAAAACAATAGAGGTGCCGTGAGTGTGTGTGT